CTTGTCTCCATCTCTTCTCCTGTATGCACCCATTTCCTGTGTGGCCTCACTGTTTCTATCCTTTCTGTGTCTCCTTCCTTCGTTGTCTTGTTCCTCCCTCCCCCCAGGGAGCTCTTTTGGAATCATGAATTAGATCGGCTCTCCCTTGGTTGGAGCTCTTCCATGGCTTCCCACCATCACTGGAATAAAGTCAAATTTCCTCAGCAGGCCTTGTGTGATGGGGATGCTGCCTGGCCTCGCAGCCCCCTGAGGCTGCCCGTTGTCCCTGCAGCCTCTAGGGGTGTGCCATGTTCTCTCCTTAGAGTTTTCACAGAAATGATTCTCTATACTTGGAACTCTCCTTCTCCTTCCTTGACTGATGCCTTCTGTTCGTAAAATTCATGTTTTCCCTCCAGCAAAACCATTTCTAACCATTCAGTCTAAGTCTAAAGTAGGCGCCTGCTGTTTCCTTCCCTGTTCTTTCCTTTCCTATTATTATGATAATAATAAAATTATCATGATTTAACACCACGTATTCATTTGTGGTTGCTTTTTAAAGTTTTCTCAACTTGGTTCCATATGGGCAGTCACACATCTGTTACAGTCATCACTGTGTCTCTGAGAGGCTTTGGTGCTGGTTCATGAAAGAGGGAGAGTGAGTGCTTGTTGAGTAAGTGAATGAGCGTATACCACATGGAGAAGCACACAGTGGGAACCGTGATGTAGCCACAGAAGTAAACAAAACTGGGGTGCCTGGGGGGTGTCTGCCTTGGGCTCAGGTCATGACCCTGGGGTCCTGGGATCGAGTCCCATGTTGGGCTCCCCGCAGGGAGCCTGCTTCTCCCTCGCCTGAGTCTCTACCTCTCTCTGTGTCTCTTGTGAATAAATGAGTAAAATCTTAAAAAAAAAAAAAAAAAAAAAAAAAAAGAACAAAACTGAGGGAGGACAACAAGGAGACAGGTTGAGTGGATCCAAGGGCCTATGTTAGATAAGTTCCTGAAAACTTTTATTCTGGGAAAGAGAATTGTGAGTCACAAACTCTTATCTGAGTAACTTCCCAATTATGACATGGCTGTTTTAAAGCTTTTACTTTTGGTTATAACTATATTTATCTGTTAGCAAAAGAAGCTTTCCATATTATGTTGAATTCTGGAGAGTTTACAACCTTCTTTTAAATTTGATAAGTTGGATTAAATGAACTATAATTATATCATCATAGTATTAATCATACCAACTCATTTGTTAAGTGGTAGTTATGTGTCAGGTCCTTTATGTGTATCATCTCCTTTAATCTTTATAATAACCATATGAAGGTGGGCATCTCCGGTGGCTCAGCGGTTTAGCACCACCTTCAGCCCAGGATGTGATCCTGGAGACCCGGGATCGAGTCCCGCATCGGGCTCCCTGCATGGAACCTGCTTCTCCCTCTGCCTGTGTCTCTGCCTCTCTCTCTCTGTGTCTCTTGTAAATAAATAAATAAAATCTTTAAAAAAAATAATCATATGAAGGAGCTGATGGTATCCCATTTTATAGAGGAGAAAAGTTAGGTACCCCAAGGTATGTATATAGCTAATATGCTAGGCCTGGAATTCAAACCAGATGTGTCTGCTACTTTCTACTACCATAGTTGGTGCCTTTATGGTGAGTTATTTTAGTACACATTGAAAAAAACCGAAGTATGTTTGGTATGGCTATATAGCACTTCTATTTTCCCTATTAGGCAATTAGGAAATATTTAACTCAAAATTTTAAAGCTAAGAAAGTGCCCCCCACCCCCAACAAATCAGAGAGGATACCTTCTTCAGTTGTTTTTCTAAATGAAACATTAAAAAATGATGAAATGGTTTTTGACATCCAGAAAGGCATGCGGACTAGTATAATACCTGTATTTTTACCACTTATCTTGACATAAAGTCTTACTAGCACAGTTAAAAGGCTTCTGTGCATTCCTCCCCAGTCTCATCTTCCTTTTCCTCCTCAGCAGTAAACATTATCCCACTATCCCAACTTTGACATTTATTGTATCCCTGCAGCCTATGTATTTAAAAATGGCAATAATCTGGTGTTTGAGTACTATATGTCATACAGCAGCAGGTAGTGTCAATGTTTTTCTGAAAAAAACTTGTTTCTTTGCCATTCTTTTCCAAGTGTCCTCCCTGATTTGTACCAGGAATGCACTATGCCACCTTTTGCTCCCCATCATATCTTATAATGTGGGTGAGGAATAAAAATGTACTCAGTTTCAAAGCCTACAGCTGTGGGACAAAGGATCTGTTCAACTAGTTGACATTTTTTCCCCATCATGATCTGAAATCAAATGAGTATGAAGAGGCTCATCATAAATGATCTTGAGGACCTCATAATTGAACCTGTTTCTAAGATGAGTGGGTCAGGTCCAAATCCTGTTCAGGTTTCAGGTGGGTGAGTGAGTGCCTTCTGTGTTTCTGTTTTCCCCAGATTTTAAAAGTTAAGTACAGTACTCTTCCTTTAAGATCTGTTTAAACTCCTGGTCTCTTGAATGATTCCCAGCAGGATAACAGTATAGTTTGGACTTGGTCACTTGAGAGTTCTTTTTTTGCCCAAATCTAAGGGAAAAGACTTCCTTGAGTTGGCAAAGAGTTGAAATAGGCTCCTCCCAAAAGACAGAAAGACAAAAGCAAAACAAAATAAAAGCAACAATTTGCTGATCAAGATGCTGGTGGGTGGTGGGGTCACTGGGTGATGGATGTTAAGGAGGGTACATGATGTAAAGAGCAGTGGGTGTTATATAAGACTGACGAATTACTGACCTCTACCTCTGAATCCAATAATATACTATAGGTTAATTTTTGGATTTAAATAAATTTTTTTTCAAAAGGAAAAAAATATAAGGAAGAATTGTGGTTGTGATGCAGACTAGGGTCAGGGTAACTATAGAATAGATGCTACTCTTGGGATTAAATGCCTGAGGACACAAAGATGGTTTGGAAAGAGAATAGTAAATAACTAGAAAATATCAGTAACTGGTTCTCAGGATCAGGGACATGGTGAGTACTTGTTAATTCATTGATGATTCACTGATACAATCTCATCAGTTTATAGAAGTTTCCCAATAAAAGCATATATTTGCATACATGATAGTTTTTCATACATGAAGACACATTATAGCTTCTCTGAGTAAGATTTCATTAAAGAGTTTCTCTCTCTTTTTTTTTTAATATTTATTTATTTATTCATGAGAGACACAGAGAGAGAGAGAGAGAGAGACCAGAGACACAGGCAGAGGGAGAAGAAGGCTCCATGCAGGGAGCCCGATGTGGGACTCGATCCTGGGTCTCCAGGATCACATCTTGGGCTGAAGGCGGCGCTAAACCGCTGAGCCACCCAGGCTGCCCAAAGAGTTTCTTTTTAAAGGCAATATGGATAGTTATATTTTTGTCATCTTAAAAGTAGTTCTTTGCATTACACAAGAAGAATGCTTTGAAAAATATGTATCTAAAAAGACTCTTCTGCTAAAGTTCAACCGACTGAAGGTTGTGCACAAATTCATTTCTTTCATGAAACTAATTTTGTTGGATTTTCCATAAAAAGTGCAACTATCAAACATTCTTGTGCTAGCTTCTTTGTGAATATGTCACTGTTCTTGATTTGCACACGCCTTATAATTTAGGCCCTCTTTTGTTTTGGGTTGACAGTTCCAACTGTTAAAACTCTTATCTGATTATGTGGGACTCCTTATTTTAATGGGAGCAGCTTCTCTGCTGCATTTTTAAAAAATGGTCTCGGAAGCATCTTACTGTGGACCATTGTTGAGGACAAAGGATTATTTATGCTAAAGGAAAATGTACTCCCCACTGAATTAGCTCGTGGGAAGCATAACAAGCTCATTAGTAATGCTCAATTGTACTTTGGCCTTTTGCTATGGTAGAGAGAAGGAAAAATGACATCAAAAAGGACATTCTGCTGTCCTTTGCTTTCCCCCAAAGAAAGTGTGATGTCACATCAGACTTTTGAGTTAGATTTAGCTCAAGTTCAACTTTGGTACCAGAAGAAATGTTCCTGAAAGGAAAGTGGTATGTGTAATTGATACTGTGCAGGAGGTATGTTTGGTATAACTTAGAGGCGAAAGTAACTTTTCCTTGGAAATTGATAGCATTATAGCTTTATCGCATTTTAATTTTTTCTTAGTGTTTTAATTATGGTTTATAATAAAAAAAGAAACTAGTATATTATGTTGCTACAAGCAATCAAAAATCCTAAATTTTATATAGTCTGTGTTATTCTGTTTTTAAGCTCTTCACCTTTTTTCCCTTCTGAAAATACATTAAATAATTGTATTTACCTAATTAATTAAAATCATACTTTTTTCCGTATAGACTTCAAAGTAGATTTCCTATAGATTTTGGAGTTAAAATTGCTGTCTTTCTTTCTTTCTTTCTTTCTTTCCTTTTCTTTAGCACCTTATGGAGAAAATAGCTTATGAAAAATTATTATAGAAAGGCATTGAGTATTGTTTAACAGTTAAAATTGATGCCAGTCTTTATTACCTTGCTGTCTAGCAGAAGCAGCTGATGGTTAAGCTTGTGAATTTCTACAAAGTCCAGATGAGCTTACACGATCTCTTTGTAATAATCAGATGAGAGTTCTTGACTTCAGCATCAGCCATTGTATTGTTGCTGTTTGCATTGTACAAGTTCATGTTAGATTTACAGGAGAAAATTTGGGTAGACTTCTTCATGTGCGAAGTTTCATTGTCAGTTTTATTTTTCTAGCCAGATGCTGCGAGAATTACTTTGGTATTAGTGCCAGAAACTGCATATAAAGTGTATTTCAAGTTTGCCTCTTTAATACGAGTACTTTCATAAGTGAGAAGCTAAGAGTGATTGTTGAATTCTCTCCCACAGTCACGCTATTCCAAATAGAAGAAAAAGTTTTAGGTTTTCAGTTAAATAGGAAACTAAAGCAGATTCTCTGTAATTTGGGGGCTGGGGGAGTAGGAAAGCTACTGTTATTTGCATATTAATGTTTTGTTCTGTTTTCAGAAAAGAACTTCATTTCAATACAGATGACCATGCAACCTGCAATTCAAGTAAGTGTTTTCCCTGGAAAAATATGTTTTTAAATTATGAGATAATAATTATATGAGATTATATAAAGTTACAATAATTAGTAGAATACTAAAATCATCCCAAAACGTTTTAACTGTACTAGTTCTTTTAAGCATCAAATTTTAATAACAGGAATTACTGTACTTTAACTTTCTAGTTCTGAAAAGATTTTAATTTTAAGCATTCATTTCTACTCATTATTTGCAAGAGTCAAAAATTCCTTAGAATTGGTTAAGTCCATCTTTCTTATACTCCCTTGGGAAGAGAATTGGAACATTTTTGTAGTTTTTCTCTCCTTACAATTTACTATGTATTTGTAATTAAAAGAGCTTTCAATGAAAACAATTATAAATTATTTATTTTAGATAATTGTGCCTGTGCCCTATCATGCCTATAAATAACCAGGCATTAAAACTTAAAATTTCAAGTGGTTTTTTGTTTGTTTGTTTGTTTGCTTTTTGGTGAGAGGAGGCAAGCTGGAGATAATCAGACAAACCAGAATAACCTTACACTTGAATGTTGGTATTTGCTGTATCATTCTTATATTCTTTTGAAAGTTTTCTTTTGGTATAAATAGAATATGCTTGAATCTCAATTTAAAGATAAAAATCAGATTGAAATTCTACTTATTAATATGTGAGCAGCAGATAATAAAATTTCCATTGCAAAGTGAGAACTTTAAAATCAATCATTTGTGGTTCTGGTTCTGCCAATTCTGGTGACTTACTTGACCTCTGCTTCTGCACCTCCAAGGTGAGGATAATAGCATTTATTTTTCAGGGTGTTTGTTGAGGAAATCAATGGGATCAATGTGAGAACATGAGCAAAGTGCCTACTAGATTGTGTGTTGCGTAGTAGACACTTCAGAAGCTTGGTTGTATCATTGATACAGCAAAATTTTCCACATATAAAACTGGAGATTATACCGGTGTCATGAAAGTCTCCCTCCCTCCCTCCTTCCCTTTCTTCCTCTCTCTCTCTCTCTCTCTCTCGTTCATTCATCCGTTCTTTCTTTTTCTCGAAAGAAGGCTTATCAAGATGACAGTGGTTGAAGACAAAAGGTGATGTATTTATCAAATGTTAACAACGGTGCTGAATATGATCCTGCTTATACTCTCTCCTATGTGTGCTGTGCAACAATATCCTCTACTCTGTTAATAAAGAGTTCTATTATACTCTTTTCCTTTTGGGACTTGGGAGTCCATGGCAGTCTCCCTAAAGGTCTAATTCTTGCTCTTTGGATCCTCTCAAATCCACATTGAGTATGCTCAAAACTCCTTTGTTACTCAAAACCGTGTTTTATACCATTTTTTAAAATCAGATGATTTCTATTTGTCCTCTTTTTACTTAAGTCTCAGAAATGTCATCAGTTTCATGTTAATTATATTTTCTTGATTCATCATAGGGTGCTTTTGATAATTGCCACATTGACCATGTTTTTCTCATTCTACCCTAATGCTATTAATATTTTCTTAACTTGCTGATTTTCTTCATGGTTTTGTTTTATAGTTCCATGAAACCTTCTCTGGTCTAGATTTTACAGATGCATCTTTATTAAATCTTCTCCAAGAGTCCTCTTACCATCTGTCATGGACGTTTTTGCTTCCCTCCTTAATGAGCATGAAAACTTTGTAGGATTTTCACCTCTTTCTCTGCTAATTATATTAGACAGTTATGTAGTTAACCATGAATGCCTTATAGAGAGGAGATATCCAGTAGATAGCTTATCAGTTGATTTCTTATTATTTTAATACATTAAGATCTTCCTTGCCCTTCTTTTTTTTATGTCATTCATTCTGATTAGTAAATAAACAGACAGTCTAAAAATTGATGAACAGTAGTTCTCTTTTAGGTCATGCATAGTCTCCTTTGAGAATCTGATAAGCTATGAACTGAAAAAAGGCCCATTTGTCTACAGGCATAAGATTTTGCCTAAATGTAAGTAAAGTTTGTGTATGTACTCAGGTTCATTTGTGGACTGCCTGTGGATTAAGAATCTTTGCATATGACAGCTTTCACATGTTTGAGAACAACCCTTATCCATGCAGTTTTTGCTGTTAACATCTAACTTCTAACAACATTAATATGCTATTGACTAGCCCAGGTTATTATAGAATCTTTTGTTGGCAAGAGTAGGAAAACCCAAATATTCATTTAATTAATGTGACAAGAAATTGGAAGGACTCCTGTTAATATTAGCTTCTCCATTTTCACACTTTTTTTTTTTTTTTGAAAACCACCCTTCTAACTAGTGTACATCTTTCCTTGACAAATATTTGCAACTGGTCTGCCTTTTTTTTTAGTTCAACCAAATGATTAAAAGACAAATAACATTCTATTAGTTCTAAAATACTCCACCCATAAGATGCATCTTGATTTTTGATGGTGCAAAGAGTCATTTGCTAACATCCTCAATTATTCAACAAATATTTAACTGAATACCATGTGCTAAATAAATATTATACTGAGTTCTGGGATTACAAACAGAAATAAGACATGCTTAGGAAAAAGGAAGATTTAGATAGTAATTTTTGCTATAGTCCATTTGAAATAATTTTAAGAGAACTCAGAGGAATAAATAAGAAAGATATGTTGTCTTTTTCCTGAAACTTTCTAAGATATCTATATATTTAGGGGTTCATTCCTCAGTCTCTACCCTTAGCTCCTGAAATAATGGCCCTCAAATAAGTTATGTGTTGTTGTTGTTGTTGTTTTCTAAACTTTGGAGACTTTTTTTTTTAAGATTTTATTTATTCATGAGAGACAGAGAGAGAGAGAGAGGCAGAGACGCAGGCAGAGGGAGAAGCAGGTTCCATGCAGTGAGCCCGACATGGGACTCGATCCCAGGTCTCCAGGATCACATTCTGGGCCGAAGGCGGCACTAAACTGCTGAGCCACCCAGGCTTCCCAACTTTGGATATTTTTATTGAATTTCACTATTCCTTCTTGCCTCTTGTGGTGTATTCGTGTTCTTTTTTTGCCTTGGGATTTTTAAAATGTGTTTGTTTCTCATCAGAAAACTTGAAAGCAGCACCTTCTTCCATTTTTTCTTTTTCTTGAGAGTTTGCCTAATTTAACAATGGTGTTATGGATTTTGATTTGGTGTTGTAAGACTTGCCTTCAGTATACCTCAGTATGTATAATAGATTTTAGAGGGAAAATGATCTACATTTAAAATCAAGAAGGAACTAGATTCACTTGGTATTACCTATCCTCATATCTCTTTTTTAAAAAAATCCTTTATTTTAGGGAATCCCTGGGTGGCCCAGCATTTTAGCGCCTGCCTTTGGCCCAGGGCACGATCCTGGAGTCCCGGGATCGAGTCCTGCATCGGGCTCCTGGCATGGAGCCTGCTTATCCCTCTGCCTGTGTCTTTGCCTCTCTCTCTCTCTCTCTCTCTCTCTCTCTCTCTATCATAAAAAAATAAAAAAAATCTTTTTTAAAAAATCCTGTATTTTAAAGTAATCGCAAGAACAGACATATTTGTTTCCTGAACCATTTGAGAGTGGGTTGCCAGTCTAATGCCCCATTACCTCTGAATACTTTAGTGTGTATTTCTCACAAATAAGGATTTCATCTTACACAACTGCAATGAAATCATTGGAACTGGATATTAACATTGCTACAGCACTACCACCTAATACTCAGACCACATTCAAGTGTCGTCAATTGCTCCGTAATGTCCAGTTCCGAATTACATGCTGCATTTAGTTGTCCTGTGCCTTAGTCTTTCTAGAACAGTGTCTTTGCTCTCTTTAGTGACCTTGACACTTTTGAATTGTATAGACTAATTATTTTGTAGGATGTCCCTCAGTTTGGATTTACCTGTGTGTTCTCATGATTAGATTCAGGTTATGCATCTTTGGTAGGAATATCACAGAGGGATACTGTGTTTTCTCATTGCATCCTTGCAGATGGAATGTGATTTTGATTTGTCTCATTATTGATGGTGTTTACCTTTGTCACTCATTAAGTTGCTGTCTGTCAGGTTATTTTACTGTAAAGTTTTTCTTTCTTCTCTTTGTATTTTGTGGGGAAGCACTTTGAAACTACATAAAAATCTCATTTCTCCTCAAAATCCCAGTTTCTTCATGTATTTATGTCTATATGCATTAATAGTTTTCTATTCAATGGGTTATAATCCATTTACATTATTGTTTGATGCTCAAGTTGCTCTTGATTTAGCCAGTAGAAGTCCCTTCATGCTTACTTCTCTGTCCTTTTGGTTGATCCCTATCATTCTTTGAGTCCTTCCTTGCTTTCTGGTAAAAGATATTTCAAGTCACTCTAGAATTCATTTTAGTTTTCTCTTATTCCACTTCTTTGGCAGTGAGAAATCTGGCTCCCTTTTGATAAATCCCTGCAAATACAACCTGTCTCCCATTGTTGCTGCCACACCTTCCCTGAGTTGATGGCTTTCTCAGCTGACTTGGACTCTGATGCCCAGCACTGGGATCTTTCCCCATCTTCCTCTGTGAATACCCTCTGTGAATACGGTGCACAGGGCTATCACCATGTGTGGACACTCTCTCATCTCACTCACGCTCTGACCTCCATTTCAGGCTTGTCTCTTTTGAGAATCCCTGATCACTTGGGCTTGAATATTCAGGAAGTGTCCTGAATTGAGATGTGAAAAGTCTTTTCTCTAAATAACCTTATATTAAAGCATGTCTAATTGTATTTCAAAATTTTGCAAAATTTTTGGTTTGATAGTATGTTTCTGTCAATTTTTATTCTTACCCAGAGATTTGCCAGGTAGTAAATATTTAGCTTTGCAGGTCAGTACGCAAAACTGATGCTATTACTTAGGTACTTAGATGACAACCACTTTAAAATGCAAAAACCATTCTTAGATTGTGGGCCATGCAAAAATCAAATGACATACCAAATTATTTAGAATAGAATTTAAGAGAACACGGTTATTATGTTCGAAAGTTATAAAATCCCACTTATGCATTTGTTTATTTATTTATCTATTATACAACAATTGTTACTAGGCCCAATGCTAGATGCTACAAAGATGTATCTTATAAGGCAGGTGACAATGACTCATTTTATAGCTGAGAGGCTGAAGCTGTGGTTCACATAACTTATTAAACTTAGCTAGCAAGTGAAGGAAAAATATTATTTGTTGACCTTTATCCTGTGGTTTGATAGTAGAATCCATTCATTTTTTTTTTTTTTTTTTTTTTTTTTTTTTTTTTTTTTTTAGAATCCATTCATTGATTAGGGATCCATTTGTATTTACCGCAGTTTTGGATACCGAAAATGTCTCAAGTATCTAGATTAATAGTTTGTTTCTACTTTATAAACTTTCTGTAACCTGCTATAGTTTTATGCATGTGTATATTATATGTTGTCTATAATTCATCATTTAAATGTAAGTATAGGTTATACTAACTTTTAAGAAGGTCTCATCCATTCGGTTGGTGTTTTCTCTAGGTGTGGTTTGGAGAAGACCTGCCTCTAAGTCCACGGAGTCCTTTAACCCCCAGACACGGGCCAGGTTTGGCTGATGTTTGTCAGTATGATGAGTGGATAGCTGTGAGGCATGAAGCCACCCTGTTGCCCATGCAAGAAGATCTGTCAATCTGGCTATCCGGTTTATTAGGTAAGACTTGGAAAGATACTCAAAACTGTATATTTTTTTGTTTAGTAAATATTTATTGAGAATCTTACTTTCTGTCAAGGAGTGATTGTTCCAGAGGCTGAGGATACTCCAGTGAATGGAATATTTGATTATTTGATATCCTTGTTCTCACAAGCTTGCATTCTAGTTGGGGAGATACTCCAATTCACCTCGAACTTTAGGGCTTGGATAGTAAGGAAGTTTGAGGCTTAACACAAGAAGTCAGTGGTAATCTTTGAATAATCAACGTTTTCATTGTGAATATTAAAACTTTTTTTTTAAGTATATAGGTCTGATTTGGGATCTCTATTACTGATGCACTGCCTCCCATAGTCTCATATAAGGCATGAGATTCTGAGTGAAATATATATTGTAGTGGAAATGATTGCTATTTCTGAGGCATTGAGGGACAAAGGCATGTGAAGCCCAGGAGGAACTGTCAGGTTGGAGAATATCTGGCTTGATATTTCTTTACTCAGAGACTAGGAGTGCTCTCAACTTTCTCCCCAGAAAAACACTGTCTTTCAAATACAGAATTTCATCTATGGTCTTCCCAAGATAGTTAAAAACACTGCACACTCTAATTCATATCAGTTTGATGATTTAGATAATTTTTTAGAAGTTTATTATGTAACAATAAGTGCTCTAAGGAAAGGATTTTGGAGGTGAAAAGTTGGTATTCTCCAGGTGTTTGTTATGCTGTTATCTTTAATTTTAAGATCATAACAAAGTTCATCTTACTTATGGTGAATCTTTCTTGTGCAAGCAGTAAGAATATGCAGTGAATCAAAACGTAACCTGAACAGTTAATAGTGAAATATAAAGCACTCTGGTTTTTAAGAAATGAAATAAAATATCATTTTATTTTTTTCTTCTACATCACAGATATTTTTGTTTCAGTTGTCTTTCACTTAATTTGGCATTATCTGTTTAGACTATTGCTTCCAGGAGTGAATACTTGGAATCTGATCTAACATTTGTCTCATGTTTCAGCTATAATCAAATTACTTTTAATTAAATTTTCACCATATTGTTTGAATTTACCATTTCTAGTAGAATCTTTTTTTTTTTTCATTTTTTTTTCATTTCTAGTAGAATCTTACCTTTGAAGTATGTTTTTAGGTACTGAGGTTAAGGCGGAAAGATTATTGGAAGAACTTGATAATGGAGTGCTATTGTGCCAACTGATTGATGTTCTTCAAAACATGGTGAAAGCATACAACTCTGAGGAACTTGAGGTAAGAACATGTTTGACAGTAAGTGGTCTTAAAGATTTTATTTATTTATTTATTTATTTATTTATTTATTTATTTATTTATTTATTTGAGAGAGAATGAGCAGGGGGTAGAGGGAGAGAGAATCTGAAGCAGACTCCACACTGAGCATGGAACCTGACATGGGGCTCGATTTCATGATCTTGATGAAAGTTTTTCAGGTCAAAACCACGAGTCAGACACTTAACTGACTGAGCCACCTGGTGCCCTGACAGTAGGTGATATTATACCTTGGTTCGTGTTAATTTGTTAATAATGTACATTTCTTATCATATCTGAAAGGTTGCAATCTTCTATCCAACTATGTATATAAGACCTTAGATAATTTACCTAATCTTGCAGAATGGGAGTATTAATATTTACATTGCCAGACTTATTTGTGAGGATTTAGTGAAATTAAATGAATTTCAGATAGTATTAAATGTACAGATAGTATTTAGCTTAGTGTCTGGTGTAAGTAAATGTCTAGTAAGTAGTTAGCTCTTCTTGAGAATAATACTCTCACTTGTGAAAGTTAAATGAGAAAAGAGCTTGTGATGGTTCCTGGCACACAGTTATCATTTTTACTGCTATTATTATTATTACCATCATCATCACCATCCTTAGATTCCCCATATTTTGTCTTGGTGGCAAATTCTATAATTTGATTGCATGAATAATAATTTTTTTAGACAATTTTCCTCTATTAACCCTTAAGTCATAATTTGAAGTAGATGCAGTTTCCTGTCTTTACATCAGACATGGGTCACTGATGAGATTTGGGGTCTGTGAGCATGACACCTGGATACTCATGTAGTGTTGGTAGAAATAGGAATGGTATCATCTTTCTGGGAGACAGTGGGTGATACATATCACATTGAAAGTAAAGCACATATTTCTATACATAACATAATTCTCCTAGGGATTTATTCTAAGAAGATAACCACAATTTCACAAATACCATTGTGCAGGAAAATTTAAGAACAATTTAAATGCTTCTCAATAAACAAGTCATTAAAAATTAATTATGGCACCTAAACTGAGTGGAATGCATTATCCATTCACTAGAAATGACTGCTTTAATTTGTTATTTTTTCACCCCAAAAGACACCTACAGACTGTTAAGACACATACACACATAGATCAGATTGTGGACTAGCGTGTTTGTGCAGCGTTCTGTGGATGAAGACGTGCATACCCTTGTGTGTAGAGATGGTTACTAACATGTGAGTGAGAAGATTTCAGTTGACAATTAGAAAAACTCACAAGGCTATTTTAATCCTGGAAAATACAGCAACAGGAAGGGTACATAATGAACTGGTAATAGCGGTTATTTCTAGGAAGAGAGAGGAACTGAGTGATGGAGGAGGGAGAAAGACATATACCCTATTGTGCCTATTGCATTTTTTTAAATCTTATGCATAAATTGCTTTTTCAAGTAGAAATTTAAAACATAAGTAAAACCTCTCTGCCTCAGCAGGTTAACTATTCTTGGTCTAGATAAAAAATTAGGATTGTCTAAAAAGACTGTCAGTTTTCAAAGAACTTGAATTAAGAATGGACTACTACTTCCTTATTTGATAGTCTCCTCAAGAAACTCAGAACCACATTTATGAATCTACAAATAAGAAAGTGAACAAAAATGAGTGTGTCCATTAACCTTTAGCATAGCAGTAATTTTGTGTTTGTATTGAACTGTATGTAGAGAGATATGTAGAGGTGTGCTTTAGAATTATTAAACTGTCATTTTTTATTTAAGACTTGTGTTATTTTAAGCAGAAAGAGGTTAGAGATGTTTGATCTTGACTAGATTTTGACTAGATTGATTTCCTAGGAATCATTTTCTGGAATATACTTAAAGTAAAATAAAATAATTTTGAAGATATCTTTTCCTCTTAATGTATGTTTGTAGTTACATTCAAGGTACCAAACATTTATTTAGTAATATTAAAAAGGATATCTAATGAAAATATCTTCAATAGGCATTTTTAAAATTATCCTTTCATCTTTTCCAGAATTTTCCAATGAGAAAAGTGCCCTGTAAGAAAGATGCTGCTTCAGGTTCATTCTTTGCTAGAGACAATACTGCGAACTTCCTTCACTGGTGCAGGCACATTGGGGTTGATGAGACTTACCTCTTTGAATCTGAAGGTTTAGGTAAGTGTTGTTGTCATCATTGTGTTTAATGTTTGTTAGGGTATTTTTGTATGTCTCACATCTAATTTTTTTCCCCAAATAAGGATTCAAATGCCGTATCTCATTTTCCTAGAAAAATTGATACTTTATATATATAACAATTGGAGAATCAGATTCTAAACCATATATATTAAGCTTTTCATTTACAGTTAAAGATCTTACATATTTGGAATGCCTTAGAAACAATTTAATTCCGAAATGAGTTGGCCAGGGAAAGGCTCTGGACTAATGCTTTGCGAATTAATGTTTTCATCAAGAATTACTCTACCAAAGTCTAAATTACTAGTAATTTCTTTTTAACTGGATAATTCTAGAAATAACAGAAGGTCAAATGAGGTATGCTCATGGATTTAGATTTACCTTGTACACAGCAGCTGCCAAGTTGATTATCTAAATGGATTCATGTTTTTGACAATTAATTTTAAAAAGTCATGCTCTACTGAAGAATTATTGACATATTGTCTTATTTACTTTAAGTCAATAGAAGCATCTGTGCAGTGACTAAAGTGGAAACTAGCTGTGTTCAATTACTATATATGTGTGTGTATATATATTTCCTTAAAGCATTTATGCATGTATATACATACACACACAGAACCTATAATGTTTTGATATGAGCACTAGCCTACCAGGAGTGGGCAGAGATCATGGGGGTCATAGTATACCCTGCTACAGAGGAGTATTTTATCACTAACATTGTTTAGAATTGCTAGTTCAAGATGCTAATAAAAAACAAACGAATTTTGGGGTGGTTTTATTATTGTTTTAAAATTCTCTGAATTAAAGAAAAAAGGAATAACTAGTTTGCTGCCTTAAGCGGAGATTCAGGGTATTAGGTAACCATCTGTTCATAGTTCCATATCTAACATCAACTGAGAAAATAAACTAAAAACAGAACAAAATAAAATAAAATTCTCTGTGCACACCCTTGTTGCCTGCATGTAGGGTAGGCACGCTGCTCCCCTGCTACCCATTTGATATGCCTCCGGGTATTCCTATCCCATATACAATAAAAAAAAATGTAATGGGTTACTGTTTGATTCCCCATCTTGCACTCTGCTTTAATCCAGGTGTGTTGATTGTTATTGATGATGAAGTTGACTTAATTGCATATACAGGTTGTAGGGATCAAAGGAAAGAGGAAATGCTTTGAATTCCCTAGTTTCCAGCTTATTGTTTCTGAAAGGATATAAAATTGTTGTATATTTCTCGTTGTCAGTAGAAGGCTCTTCTGACTGTCCTGAAGGTCAGTATAGATCTAGATAAAGCACTGCCAATAACCGTGATTTCTAGGCATTGAACCGATGAGCTAATGTTTTAATTTTCTAAAGATTTCAGAGATAAGCCTCTAAATTCTTACATTTTGCTAGGAAATCAAAGCAATTAAAAAAAAACAAATGCTATGCTCTAAGTATGCTTAAAAGCTAGTTTTAGAGCAACAGGTTTAATAAAAATTACAAGACAGATTCCTTTTGGTGTGAATTTTAAAGTCAAATATAGGCCTTTTTATTGCTTTGGAGAAGAGTATATACTTTGTGCTTGGGATATATAATAGATGATATTCATAAATCAATCCTTTGGGAGAGTCAGTGTGCATGCTATTCATCACACATACCATTATTCTGTTAGGGTGGAAGTTTCCTAGAGCTTTTAACTCTAAGGAAGGAACAGAAAGGTAGATGATTCACACCTACTATATGGTAGGTTCCACGTTTATTAAGATCTTTGTTTGAATCCTTAGATTAGCATTTGGGTTCCTTTAAGAAAAATTAAACAATTTTCAAATGTGCTAGAGTATACAGGACACAACCTACCAACTTAACCATGTTAAGCATATTAGATTTTGTTGTATTTATAGCATTTTTAAAAATTGAGTTATACTTTGGGGCACCTGGATGGCTCAGTTAAGCATCCAACTCTTGACTTTGGCTTGGGTTATGATCTTGGGGTTGTGGGGTCAAGCCTGCATCAGTGTACCAAGCTCAGCGTGGAGTTCACTTGTCCCTCTCCCTCTGCTTTTCTCCCTACTTGAGCACAAATGTTCTCTCTCTCTCTCAAGTAAATAAATAAATGAAATTTTTATTTTATTTGTTTATTTAAAAAGATTATTTATTTATTTATTCATGAAAGACAGAGAGAGAGAGGGGGGCAGAGACACAGGCAGAGGGAGAAGCAGTCTCCCTGTGGGGAGCCTGATGTGGGACTCAATCCCAGGACCCCGGGATCACCACCAGAGCCCAAGGCAGATGCTCAACTACTGAGCCCCCCAGGTGCCTCAATAAATGAAATGAAAACACAAGATGTCTTTCCACTTATCTGTCTCTTCCTTAATTTCATTCAACAATATTTTGTAGTTTTCAGGATACAAGTCATAAATTTCTTTGATTAAATTTATTCCTAAGTACTTTATTCTTCTTGAAGCATTGTAAATTGAATTATTTTTTAAATTACATTTCAGATTGTTTATTGCTGGTGTGTAAAGTGAAATGATTTTTGTATATTGATCTTATATCCTGCAACTTTGCCGAAACTGCTTGTTTGTTCTAATATATATATATATATATATATATATATATATATATATATATATATATTGTCGATTCCTTAGGGTTTTTTTATAGAAAGGACAGTGTCATCTGAATGGAGATAGTTTTTGTTCCTCCTTTCCAATCTGGATACCTTTTATTTGTTTTTCTTGCCTAAATGCTCTGCCTAGAACCTCCAGTACAGTTTTGAATAGAAGAGGTGAGGGTGGACATCCTTGTCCTCTCCCTAGTCTTAGCAGGAAGATTCTCAACCTTTCACCATTAAGAATTAATGGTGTTAACTATGGATTTTTCATAGATATCCATTTTCAGATTTATAATTTCCTTCTATGCCTAGTTTGTTGATTCTTCCTTTTTTTTTTTACATGAAAAGGATATTTGATTTTGTTAAATGCTTTTTTCTGTATCTACTAAGATAATTGTAAGTTTCTTTTCATTTATTCTATTAATTTAGCATATTATTTGATTGATTTTCATATGTTGAACCAACCTTGCATTCTTGGGATAAATCTCACTTGCTGTTGGATTCATTGCAAGTATAACGTTGAAGATTTTTACATCTATATTCATAAAGGATATTAATTAATCTTTAGTTTATTTGTGATATATTTGTTTGGCTTTGGTGTCAGGGTAATATTGACCTCATAGAATGTGTTAAGAATGCCCCTCCTTTTCTCTTTTTGAAAAGTTTGAGAAGGCCATTAACACAAAGTCCTAAGCTAAAGATAGTGTAGAATAAAATTGAGGTGATATATCTCTTCAAACAATATCTCCTGTTGAGAAGTCTGAAATAGAATAATGTTTCTAAGCCCTTAGTTTTTTAGACTTAAAATGCTACAAATTAGGGTACATGGTAAGTTTTCATCCTCTTACTAGCTAGTTTTTTAAAAATGTATAGATGGTGATAATATGTAGAGAAAATGTCTTTTCTAAGTCTCCAAACAAGTAAACCTACCATCTTCATTATTCTTCCCTTTTACTTCTTCCATGCCAGAAATATATTTCCCTATTTAATTTTGCTCTTTAAAATATGTGATCTTATTTTTTCACAGTTTTACACAAAGACCCAAGACAGGTGTATCTTTGTCTTCTTGAAATTGGTCGAATTGTGTCGAGGTGTGTATTCCACATTATGTCAGAATTTCAATGTCATTAATTTTTTAAAAGCTACCTTATTTTACTTTTATTTTATTTTATTTTATTTTATTTTATTTTATTTTATTTTATTTATTTTATTTTATTTTATTTTATATTTTTATTGAAGTTCAGTTTGCCAATATATAGTATAACATCCAGTGCTCATCCCATCAAGTGCCCTCCTCAGTGAAAAGCTACCTTGTTTTAGATAGAACACTATTTTCTTTTTTTATTTATTTATTTATTTATTTATTTATTTATTTATTTATTTATTTATTTATTTACGATAGTCACACAGAGACAGAGCTAGAGAGAGAGGCAGAGACATAGGCAGAGGGAGAAGCAGGCTCCATGCACCGGGAGCCCGACGTGGGATTCGATCCCGGGTCTCCAGGATCGCGCCCTGGGCCAAAGGCAGGCGCCAAACCGCTGCGCCACCCAGGGATCCCAGAACACTATTTTCTATAAATAAAATAATTCTTGGTTGAAATAAAATAATTTCCTATTTTTTCTTTCTTTTTGTTTTTTTTTTTATTAAATTTGTTCTGTTTGTGTGAGCTGTCATGTCAACATCTGCTCACCCATATACCTTGCCTTCATTTAGTATTAAACTGTAAAAAGTGGTTAGTTAAATTTTTTAGACTACGAATAGGGTAAGAGCATGTAAAACTCTTAGCAGTTCAAAGCAAGGCAAATCCTCTGGACCCAAAGAGAATTTGATAAGAAGTTTGAGGCATAGCGTCCCCCATACCTGGCTCAGCCCCATCTTTACTCTCAAGCTGACTTTAAAGGTGACTTACTTTCAGGATTCCTGGTTGAATATTGGGAGCTTCTAGTGATCCCAATATATGATATAATGTGAAGATTATATCCTGAATTTTTGGTAGGCTGTGGGACGTTAAAAAGCATTTCCAGATGTTCCAGTGAAACAATTGGTAGAGGGGAGTCATATAGACTCCACTTTTTAAATAAGATATAACCTATCATGATATGCATGGGAGTGAATGGGTCATACTTTTCTTGAATAATGAAATATCCTGTTTGGTTTTCAGATATGGGGTTGAGCCACCAGTATTAGTAAAACTTGAGAAAGAAATTGAACTGGAAGAGACCTTACTTAATACTTCTGGGCCTGAAGATTCCATCAGCATTCCGAAATCATGCTGTCAACATGAAGAGTTACATGAGGCCGTAAGTAATTGCTCTATTTTCTCTCAACTGTGATGTGTCAGTCTTATAGCTTGCCACAGGTGATGTTATGTTTAAAAGAAAGTGTTTCTTATTTAGAACATACACCAATACTAATTTCTACTCCCTGGTGAGTTTAGGACACGATATATTAAAGATGATTTGTTGTTTGTATATGATGAGAAATGGATATGTAGTTGGGGAGTGGGGAGGCAAACAGGTTGGAATCCATCATGAAGGGTACTGTAGGCCATAAGAATTCATTGATTCTTTTTTAAAACATGGTAGTGTTATAATCTGATCTGCAAATTATAAGGATTACTTTCATGGTCATGTAGAGGTTATATTGGTTTTATTGTAATAATCCAGGTGTAAGATGCCAAGAACCTGCACTCAAGCGGCAGTGGTGAAGGTGAAGCAAAAGGAACAAAAATAGGACATATTTCAGAGGTAGAATTGAAGAATCCTGATTCTGAAAGGGAGGGAGAAAACCTAGGGTGGTTTTCAAGGTTTCTAAGTAAATGGTACACTGACACTTGGAGAATATACCAGGAAGAAAAGTTGTAAGAGCAAATTGATGGGGTTTTTTGTGAATATTCCCCTCACAGGAATGCAGACTTTAGATGATGGGTCTGAACTGGAAAGTCTTTTCACTTTACCTGTTCATCATTAGGTAGAGGTTAGTAGAGTTGTGGTTGCTCAGGCTGTGTCTTCTATGGTGACTACAATCCAATAAGTGATGAAGGTGAACTAAGTAGTATATGTTTTCTTCTTCCACTGCTGCTTACAATTATGGTCTTTTTTCAGACTGTTGTATTTTATGAAAGTGCTTAATGTATAAAATTATTTAAGAAATAACAAGAAGTCAGGGGCACTTGGGTGGCTCAGTGTTTGAGCATCTGCCTCCGGCTCAGGTTGTGATCCTGGGGTCTTAGATTGAGTCCTGCATCGGGATCCTGCAGGGCGCCTGCTTCTCTCTCTGCCTGTGTCTCTGCTTCTCTATGTGTCTCTCATGAATAAATAAATAAAATCTTTAAAAAAAAAAAAAGAAATAACAAATCTGGGATCAAGTCCCGCATCAGGCTCCCTGCAAGGAGCCTGCTTCTCCCTTTGCCTATGTCTCTGCCTCTCCCTCTCTGTGTCTCTCGTGAATAAATAAATGAATCTTTAAAAAAAAATTAAAAAATAATTAAAAAAGAAATGTTATTACTGTTAAATATTTAGAAAGTATTGCTTTGATTGTTTTAACATAATAAAAGTCTATATAGTAAAAGATTTGGATATCCTTGCAAGACAGATTAAAATGTCAGCTTGAATATTCTTTACCAGGCCAAAATATATTTACCTACATTATATTATTGATTTATATAATGACTGTCAGTGTTAGTATGTGACACAGTGAAAAAGAAAAAATTTAAAATAAAACTTAATTTTAAATCTCATGTAACTTAAAATAATGATAATTAAGAAGAAAACATTGGTAAAATATTTTTTTATTGAATAGGAAATACATTGTATTAATTTCTCTGTTATATAAAGATCATGCACAGTTTGGTTAGAAAAGCATTTCCGGAAGGTAAATGCGCAAGGACTGTTATTCACACGAGGAAAACATAGTGTTGAGACTTGCTGAGAACTAAGGAATTAAGAACACAATTTGCCTCATTAGTAAAATTTTTGTTTAATTATGAAACCTGGGCAGCCCGGGTGGCTCAGTGGTTTGGTGCAGCCTTCAACCCGGGGCCTGATCCTGAAGACCCAGGATCGAGTCCCATGTTGGGCTCCCTGTGTGGAGCCTGCTTCTCCCTCTTCCTGTGTCTCTTCCTCTCTCTCTCTCTCTGTCTGTGTGTGTCTCTCATGAACAAATAAATAAAATCTTTTTTTTTTAAATAAAATCTTTAAACAATAAATAAATAAGTTATGAAACCTGGTGGTGGTAGATTCTGGTAAAACTGTACTTAGGGACTGCTGTCTGTGATGGAAAATGCTGTAACCTTTTGAAAAACAGGTTAACAAATAGATATCAATAATCACAAAAATGTTCCTCTTTCATTTTTTACCATAATTGAAGGGGGATAAAAAAGTAGAGTGAATGAAAGTATTTATTGGGCTATTATAAATGGTGAAAAATTGGAAGCAATGTAAATAACCTCAAATAGAACATGGCTAGGTGAATTAGGATCCATTATCTTAACAGAATAATCACTATATGTGATCATTATGAAGACTATATGGCAACAAGAAAAATATTTTATTAAAAGTATGTGTATATAGATGAGCTATAAGAAAAAAGGAGAATGAAAATGATTGTAGGGGAATGCCTTTTTAGATGATTTTTATTTCTTTAAGCTATTTCTTTTAGTATTTTAATGTTAAGTATGCGGTAAATAAAACCAGAAGAGGATACTTTTTATCCATAGCTTTTATTTCTTTTAGGCTTACCCCTTTATTTAGATTGTGGGTCAATGCTAATTTTTACTGCTGAATGTAAGTGGTGTCTGGATATTTTAAACAAAGAAAGCAAGTGACTTCATGTCTTCATTCTCATGAACATTCAAAAAGAACACATTTCTTTAGACACATATGTGCTACATGAATCATTCAGTGTCCAGCTACACGTATGTGATCTACAGAGATCTTGGGGTCATGTTTAGAGTAAGGAACAATTATCAACTGATTCACTACTTAGAGTGTTGTATTCAGCTATACTTCTGTATGTTACAAAACTTCCATTGATTGAAAGTAGTGACTGAGGGGCCTCTGAGTGGCTCAGGCAGTTAAGCGTCTGCCTTCAGCTCAGGTCAGGATCCTGGGGTCCTGAGATTGAGCCCCGTGTCGGGCTCCCTGCTTAGCAGAGAGTCTGCGCCTCCCTCTTGCTCTGCCTGCCGCTCTGCCTGCTTGTGCATGTGCTCTCTCTCTGTCAAATAACTAGATAGATACATAAGTAAATTTTAAAAATCTTTAAAAGAGGGATCCCTGGGTGACGCAGCGGTTAAAAGCACCTGCCTTTGGCCCAGGGCGCGATCCTGGAGACCCGGGATCGAGTCCCACGTTGGGCTCCCGGTGCATGGAGCCTGCTTCTCCTTCTGCCTATGTCTCTGCCTCTCTCTCTCTGTGTGACTATCATAAATTAAAAAAAAAAAAAATCTTTAAAAGAAAGTAGTGAGTAAAAAAAATACCTCCTTTCAGATTACTCTGGTAATGTGTAATTGGTTCTAATAATTGTAAATTCTTTACTCACATTCAGTTAATTTTTAGCCATTTAATGCAGGTGCCATATGTGTTCATGAATACCAGGTTATGAACGAGGTAAACTTAATTCAATGGCTTATGAAAATCAGTCTATTTATGATTGTATTATTTTGTTAAATGAATGAGGGAGATAAATTGTGCACCCTTGTGATCAGACCGTTTTGACTCCATCTGTGGCTCTTCATTTTGGGTAGATAATGAAGACGATCATACATTTCTGTTAGTGGTCAGCTAGATTGGGCCTATCTGAAGATACTTTGGTTGAATGTCATGGTTCAATGAAGTGAGTTTATTTAGGTATACTCTGTGTGATAGATAATTGAGGAAGATATTCATGGCCTTGCTTTTTCAAAAATTTAATCTTAGGAAAACAAAATATTTAGCATGGTGACTGATATCAAACTTTTTTTTCAATCAAATCTCAACAAATATTTTTATTTTTTAAATCAACTTATTATAATTTCCATGTTTTAAATACAGAATTCCTGAATTGTTTTTTACACTCCAGTTTTCAGATATTTACTGCATTTAAAAATTCTCTTAAGCTCCTCAAGGGTTAGAAGTAGGGATTTCTCCCCGATTCTCATTTCCTTAGCAGACTGTTGAAAAAAGCGATCACTTTTAGAAAAGTGCCTCTTGAATCAAATTCTTTGGAATTTCACCCAGTCTTGGATGAATAGATATGTATACACATCTGCTTATTTTAACAGTAATCTTGGAACAATCTAGACATTCCCCTCCAATGTTAGTTTAGCATCGTGTTAAGGGACAAGTGAGATTCCTGCTTAAGCTTTATCCAACTGGCCTATCTTTGATTTGACACAGGTATTTTAATCCAGGGCATAAAACAATTCAAACTGACTGACTAGTGAACTCACAAGCTTCCTATGACTTACTGAGTGTGTTGTGAATCAACTTCACTGTTGTACACATTCCAGACCTCCAGCAGTCAGTGAATACACTAGGATCTGCTTGCACTTAGGCAGAGAGACAAGGAGGAGAGAGAGAGAGAAGAGAAGAGGGAAGAGAAGGAGAGAGGGAATCTCAAGACTTCATCACAGGGGCGCGTGGCTGGCTCAGTCAGTAGAGCATGTGGCTCTTGATCTCAGGGTCCTGAGTTTGAGCCCTGTGTCAGATGTGGAGCCTACTTTTAAAAAGGAAAAAAAAAAAGACTTTGTCACTGGCAGCTTTCATCAGATTAGTTCATGTCTAATCTCAGTATCTGTCAGGGAGCCTGACTGGCTCAGTCCGTGGAGCATGTGACTTTTGATCTTAGTGTCATGAGTTCAGGCCCCATATTGGGTGTAGAGATTACTTAAAAAAAAAAAAAAAATCCTAATCTCAATATTTGTCAACAAGTAAAGGAAATAAATGGTCCACTGTCTTTACATTTTTATCTTTGAGTTTGATTTTCCCATCTATCAAATGACCTTGCATTTTAACATTAAATAAAATATTTTTTGTCACAAGCACTAAATTTTGTTTACTTTTAATCTTAGGTTAAACATATTGCTGAAGACCCTCCTTGTAGCTGTTCCCATCGATTCTCTATTGAGTACTTATCTGAAGGGCGGTACCGACTTGGGGATAAAATACTCTTTATAAGAGTAAGTCCATCATTTACATCCTATTTACATACAGCTTGTTTTACCAAATTCCCTTTTGCTTCTCCTTTGATTTTTAAAAAATTGGAATAGTGTTATTAATGGAAGCATTTTACTGCACAGGAAAAATATGGAATACTTGCTTTCAGGAGTAGATAATGAGCTTGGGCAGACACCTTTAACACAATAGACTACTAACTGGGATAGGATAGCTAAGACTATTCAGACATTGAATATAATTGTGGGGGAATGAAAATCTTTATATACCTCAGGTAATTTATTCCATTTTTCAAATTTTCTAAAAAAGGCATAATTTTCCATCACAAGAAGTGATGGAAATAAATGGTCCAACTGTCTTTCAAAAAGGACAAGCCTTTCAAAAAGGAGTTTCTAATGAAAGCATAAGATGAAATATCAGTAATAAAAAAAAGGAGGTAGAAACATTGCAGTTTATAATAATATATAGATTGGGTCTTAAGCATAAAACCTTTTTTTCATTGACACAGCATCAGTGAATATACCAGTATCCCGTTGTACATATTCATTTCCTTCCTGTGTCCCATCTGCGACCTGCAGTTGATTGACTGTCCCCTTTATTGGTGGAGAGACTGAAGTTTCACCTGTTCGGCATTCTGTCCACGTCTGATACAAGAGCCCTTTCTTTCTCAATTTGGGAATATACCTAAAGATATTTAAAAGTGTAATTTCACCATCCTGTGTTTTTTAATTTAATATAGTATCATTACCTCCCCACACTTCACTCAACTCACATAGAAACACTTTCAAGCACTTTCTGTTTTCTTAATTAGCTTTCTCTTTTTTTAAGGCAGTCTGATATAAGGATGGTGCACAGAGCATGGGATTCAGAGTTAAAATTTGCAAGGCAATCTCATACGATGGTTCAGATTTGCCTACCGAATGGTTAGGGGACCTAAACATTAGCTGAAACTGTGTGGGCAGACCCAGGATGCATCCTGTCTGCACAAAAGCCCAGGCCAAAGCTGTATGATCTGACACAAATTTCCTCCATCTCACAGAGCCATAGTTTTCTTGTCTGCAGAGAAGAACTAAACCATAAATCATTCAAGGCTTTTTGAAAGGGTAAACTGCTAAAGTATATATGAAAGTAATTTATTAAGTTGTAAAGTGCAAGTTTTAGTTGTTTTATCTTCCGTTAATTGTTTTTTTGTTTATTATGAGGCACATTTTCTGTAAGTCCTCATTTTCCTTCTCTTCTTCCCTCTGTCTTTCGTCCCTCCTTATTGAACAATACAACCCTTGCAGTTTTGTATATTTGTAATTTGGATTTTTAGGATGCTGCTTAATGTGCAAAAATTTTCCTTACAAATTAGAGGACCTGTATTTAGTTGCATGATTCAATGAATTCAATTGATTATTTTAATAATATAAGAAACAGACTGTCAACTTACAGTGAAGCTTCTGGTAAATTCTCTGAATTTCATAGATCATCATCGACACCACAAATTGTGACTGCCAATGAATTGCAATTGTGAACCTTACAATTTTTTTTTTTCTACTTTCTTTTGGGGGAAAAGATGCTCCACGGAAAACATGTTATGGTCCGTGTTGGTGGTGGCTGGGATACTCTGCAAGGATTTTTGCTTAAATATGATCCCTGTCGAATATTACAGTTTGCTACACTAGAACAAAAAATCCTAGCCTTTCAAAAAGGAGTTTCTAATGAAAGCGTACCCGATTCGTCTGCCAGAACACCTCAGCCACCTGACATGAATCCTTTGTCGGCAGTCAGCATGTTTCAGAAACAAAAATCAAAGCCCGGCCCGCCAGTTGGTGTTGCAAGGAGCAAAGAGAAGCAGGTGCGTCCGCCAGGTGGGTTGCTGCCCGCGGCTCCCCTGAACGGAGGGGATCTGGGCTCTTCTCATCTTAAGCTCAAATCTTCGAAAGGCGCAGCGAAGAAACCACAGGCTCCTTCCGGCAGTGCGGCGGGTGCAAGCACTTCTGCAGCGGCTGCCCCCGGGGGCTCGGCGCGTGAACCTCGGCCACTGGGAAGAGGGGCCCCCCCCAGCGCCCCCGAGGCCCAGCTCCTTCCCGCCCCGAGGCCCGCCCGCCTGCCGGCCACGGCGCTCCTGCCCAGCCAGCCTGCGGGCAAAACCGAACCGAAGCCTTTGAAACCCGCTGCGGTCCGCGCCCGGGTGGGTCCCGAGTGTCCGGCCGCTGCACCCTCAGCCTCGTGCAAGCGTCCAGAGCCGCGGAGAGCAGATACGCACCTAAGGCCGAGGCCTTCCCCCGCTCTCCGCCCCCCTGCAAAAATGACAAAATCCGGCCCCAAAAGCACCGCGCCCCGTCCAGGGCCACGGTGCCCGCCCCCTGCCGGAGCCCCCCGCGCCGCTCCCTCGGCTCCCTCGGCCGCAGCCGCAAAGGCCGCGCAGGACTCAGAAGGCAAGGCCGTGGTTCCAGGGGCCAAAAAACAGCCTCCCGGCCAAAGCACGTCCCCGAAGAGAGGCCCCAGCCCCGGCTGGCCCCGGCCCCCCGGCCGCGCCCCGCTGTCCCTCGTGAGCCTTCCCCAGGCGTCGGCCCAGAGCCCGACAGCGCGGGGGGCGGTGCGGGGGGCGGCCGGGGGCCAGCCTCCTGCCCCAGGGCCTCCGGGACGGGGACAGGGACGGGGACGGGGAGGAGGCCCGGCGGCAACCCGGGCACCGCCCGCACCCCGCAAGGAAGCCGCCAGCACCAGCGCGGGTAAGAAACCTACTGCAAAGAAGGAAGACGACGACCATTATTTTGTCATGACTGGAAGCAAGAAGCCTAGAAAGTAAATGCTGTGTGTGTCATTTTAAGAACCCAGGAGAGGAAGAGCGTGGAATGGTAGCACACAGCCTAAAACTTTCTCCTGTTGGTGTTTGACCAAATCCGTTCAGATTTAAGGCAGTAAGGAGGGGGATTGGGGCTGGGGCTGGGGCTGGGCCCCTGCTGGCTGTGACAGGGATGGGGATGGGGATGGGACTGGGATGGAGCTGGGATGGACTGGGATGAGCTGGGGCTGGCCTGGGGATGGAGCTGGGGATGGGGCCTGGCTGGCCTGGCCAGGGATGGAGATGGGACTGGGACTGGGCTGGGGATGGAGCTGGGAATGGGGCTGCGGATGAGGATGGGGCCGGGGCTGGGGTTGGGGGTCCAGGGCGCATCGGAGTGCACGTTCCTGAATTCAGCAGACTTACCCTTTTGCAGTGGACAGTTGTAAAATCGCCATGAGGTTCTTATTAATAATAGACATTTGTATGATTCTCAGTATCTAGCACCTTGGTTAACAGCTGCCCTGTGAGGGAAGTGTAGACTTCACTAACACTACTGGATTTAGGATTACAGGTGCTATATTTTTGAATACTTATTAAACATGGAGGTTACATACCGGCTCATAGCAACGGTGGTGTTCTTAATATTGGTTATTGCATTTTAGTAGAATGGCAATGGTTTGGCACTCATCTGACAAAAGGCACCTGATTTAATATTTGGATCAGGATCCTCTGATTGAACAATACTAAGTACCAGTGGCTGCTGCTCATTAGCTCGACGTTACTCTAGGGTGGATAGAATCCTGCTGCTTAAAATTTTTTAAACTTTCCAAATCAGAGGGAACTGATTTTCGACTGGCTTTAATATATATTAACATAGGTAATATTTTGTTATATTTTTGGTAAAAAAATTAAATATTTTTGGTTAAAAAAAAGTGCAAGATATTGAAATATAAACTGAAATTTGGTTAAAAAGTGAGACTTTTTATATATTATTATATCTCTATATAAAAATGTACATCTTATATTTTAGATGGATGCTGTGCAATGTGAAAGGGAAAACTGACCCAGTAACTTTCAGCATATTGCAAATATTTTTAATATTGTTTTCCTATGAGTGCAGATATGAATTTTTAACTGAAAAAATGTGTTAGCATCAGAATTATGTGTTAACAATCTTAAAAATAAGGTCTTATTAAAGACTTGTGGCGGTGCTATATAAAAGTTCTATCATGTGATTGTTATTTTTCTTTAGATAGCACAATGCCAGTTTTAATTAGATCCTTCCAATCACATTAATTTTCTTTAATAAAGTCATGCTGCCTTCAGTTTTTCAAAGGCAAGTGGACAGTATATATCTAGTGTTTTCTGCTCCATAGGGAGGTTCTCCAAGGAACATACCCACATCATGTAATGACTGCATAGGCTCCACTGCTCCAAGGTATTTGTAAATAATTTGTTTTTTTAAGGGATTGTGGCTATTTAAGAAATTATTAATGTACTTTCAGAAGTCTTAGGGGTGTGTTTAATAACTTCACAGTATTATCAGTTATCATAGGTTATTATATTCAATATTAAACTTTGTGTTTCCCTATTTTGAACTAAAATGTATTTTCTAAAGAAAAATAATCGTGTACACAAATGTGCAATTATAAGATAAGCATCTTAAGGTGACTACTAACATTCTATAGATTATAAAGCAAGAAAACTTTGTATAAAATGAAATGCTCTTTTGTCTGAGGAATACAGTTAAAATCAGATATATGCAGGCTAGTTTTTGGAATAGTAGATTCTTTTCTTACAAGAGACAGTCACCAACTATTTGGTTTAGTTCTACTGCTCTGGGCATTGAGAGAAAACCTACATCTTTGGAAAGTGAAATCATTCAAGAAGTGCTGTAAGTTTTATGTTTTTAGTGATCAGAAATATGTAATGCATCTTTCAAAGAGGACAAATCTGACCTTCAAGAAGGAATTTCTTCCTTCCTAATGATCAAACACTGCTTCTGTTACCAGTAATTTCTAGAACTTAAAAAACATATTTCCAATCTATGAAATGAAGTAGATTTTACAATGTGTAAACAGTAACTTTTGTGTTGAGAGTAATCATGAGTAAAAGTATCCCACAGGCATCTGGCACAAATTCAGCATTGGTTTTTTGTTTCTGTTTTTGTTTTTTGTTTTTTTGTTTTTTTTTGAAAATTGGAAGTTAATTTATAGATGGCCCTATTCTTCATCAGAAAGGAATTATCTCGAATTATATTCATGTTGAATGAATTTTTTCTTATAGGTAGCTTACCCTTCCAAGATAAAGATTTTAAAAAATAAACAACAGCTTCAAAGACACTTTCTTCAAATATATTTTGAAATGGTCTTAAAGAGCTGGTGTTTCTAATCATTTTCACAATTTTTAAAATACACCGTTGATGTTGGAGAGAAGTTTCCATTTCTTCTTAGAGTGCAAAGTTTAAAAGATTTTTCATGTTTTATATTTAACAAAATGAATATGAAGCTTAAATGACTAAAGCAGAAGAAATAACATGTATTTTCAAAAAAGAAGGGGATGAGTTTTTATTTTTCCTTTCTGTAATTTGTGACCATGACTGGTAAACCAAACTGACCTTCGGAGGAAAATGAAATGCTGATTATTATTGTTTGGGCTTCCAGCAGGTGTTCAAGACTTGTGTCTTCAAAATACCTATCTCAAAAAAAAAAAAAAAAAAAAAAAAAGAAAAAATACCTATCTCTAACTTTCCTCTCCACACAGAGTTTACAATTCTTAATGGATGAGGGAAATGTTTTGAGAGAAAATTACTGTTCCTTCTGTAACCTATTAACCTTCACTTGATTTAAAAATCTATTACTTCTTTAAAAGTCTTCAATGACAGGTTGTTTTGATACATTTGTGCTTCCAGGTTCACATACTGACTCCATTGGAATCCAAATCTGTGTGTATTCTTTTCTTGTGCTGCAGTGTTTGTATCAGGTTTTAGCTTATATTTTCTCAAGTATTAAAACAAACATATGCACCAAGTTCTCAGTGTGCTTTTTTTGTGTGTGTTGTGAATGCATTCTGATCCCTCGGTTCGTGTGAGAAATTGCATATATAAAGCATTCATAATTTGAGAATAGTTTTAATTTTATTGTTAAACTGCCCTTTTCATCTTTGTGGAATTCCCTTTCCTGCTCCCAGGAGATTGTAAGACTCTGCCATTAAATAGCAATATTTGTTTCCTAAGTTGTTGTATCTGCTAGAAGTTTGTCTCAGTCAGACCCATATTTAAGAATTGGTGAGATAATAGAAATAATTTATCAATTACTGAAGCACAGTTCTGGGGTGCCTGGGGGCTCAGTCAGTTAAGCGTCTGCTTTTGGCTCAGGTCATGACCTGTGCGCGGTCCAGGATCCAGTCCTGCATCAGGCTCCCTGCTCAGTGTGGAGCCTGCTTCTCTCTCTGCCTGTGTCTCTGCCTCTCTCTGTGTCAGATAAGTAAAACCTTAAAAAAAAAAAAATGAATAAAGCACAGTTCTATAAATGACACCAGTCTTGGGTTCATGGGAGGCTCCTAACAGTAAGAATTTCTAGTTCCTGTAATTCTATTTTGATTTCACACTGAGACACAGTGAGAAGAGTCTTGAAATATTCACATTTTTGTATATTCATAATCTGAGCAATTATAAAGAATTATAAAGTTATAAAGCAGTTCAATATGTATTTCCTGTGATGTTTCAAAAAAGAAAACAGAAAAATGCCACTTAGGCAGAATTTTTATTTTGTTTTCCTATTTGTGGGGAACATGTGTGTGTAAAATTTTAAATTCATGAGTTGGTGAAATTTGGGGTAATATTAGGAAAACATCAAAAAACAATTGCCAGTAAATCTGAAAATAGACACATTTTATTAAATTTAAGCTGTTTTCCTATAGATAGATAGTGTTTTTCTTGTAGAAAAACCCAAGACTTGATCTTGAAGAAATAATAATAACAAAGATTTAGCGAGCGATAAGTTTGTTAACTATAGCACATACTAATATTGGTATAACCATAAAAGAGAATACCATGTAGTCATTAAAAATGATGCAGACATTGATTTATCTTAAAGTAAGTATGTATGGTGGTAAAGTGGTTTGTTTAGTGAGGCTGCTGTGATGAAGCATTACTATATAGTATTTCTTAATTTTTGGTATTCATCCAGGGATACCACAATTCTTGGTGCACGGTATGTGATACCTAGGTTAATATAATTAATCTCTTGTGAATAGTACCTTAGGGTTTCATAGAATACATTTTATTTAAGATAACCACTTTTCTTAAGTTACTTTTGGGAAATTACACTGGAGTGAATGAATATAATAAATAGAATGGATCTGTGTTGGGGTTGACCGTGGAGGACCTCTTGTGGTCACAAGGGGTAGTGTTGATGCCTTTGTGACTACTCAGATCATTTATTAGAACCTACCAGGTGGTGGAGATAGAACCAAGAAAGCAGTCTACCATTTAAGAGCCTTGGGTTTAAAAAGCACTTTGCAACTTACAGGATGCTAATTACATTAATAGCCAATCTTTCCAACAATCTTCATGAGAATATTAACACTGTAAAGACAGGAGTTGTGTCTGTTTTGTTTCCCACTGTCTTCCAAAGCCTAAACTAGTGCCTGGCACACAGTAGGCCTTCAGTACATATTTGTTAATAATGAGTGAAACGGGCCCCTGGGGGGCTCGGTGAAGCATCTGCCTTTGGCTCGGGTCATGATCTCAGGGTCCTGGGGTCAGTCTCCCTGCTCAGCAAGGAGTCTGCTTCTCCCTCTCGTCTGCTGTTCCCCCCCACTTGTGCTCTCTGGCTCTCTCCGTCAAATAAATAAAATCTTTTAAAAAATGAGTGAACCCTATTAAATGAGTGAATCCTCTTTGTAGATGAGGAAACCAGGGCTTAAGAAAACTGACAGTAAGTATAAAACTACTAGAGTCGATTAACTGCACCTTACTTAAAGGACAGATTTATTTTTATCTATGTATACTTTTCCACAGATTCGATTGGTTCTTTATGTTACTTTGATAAAGTAGGCCTTAGGTGGCAGCTCTTTAAAAACCTGCTGAAATATAACATCCTGCATTTTTATTTCTTCTGAGAAAAAAATCTTGATTTCACTGTTTTT